AAAAAAAAGAGAAATTTCGCTTACCTGAGATTGGTAATCACGAATCATTAGAAGGAATTGATAATTAGGGTTCCCGGGATCGATACTCTTCTCCATTTCTCTTTGTTTCTTCATATTGTTCTTGAATCAAGAAACGCACGAATGAATAATAATTTTTTGCGGTTACAGATGAAATATGAAAAAGAGGAACCTAACAAAGGGAAGGTTTTAACTATGAGAAAAAAATCCTGATAGAGAAAAGTTCAAAACAGCACAACCGTTCTTATTGTTCCTTTAACAGAAAAAACTACATCTCGACCAGAAAAACTATGACTACCTGCTGAGCCCTTCTTTCCTCACGCTCCTTCTGTAATTTTTCTATATTAGCAACTGTCGATGACTTCGCCTTATGATCAGGAACGACAATTGTATCATTAATGTCTAAGATATATTATTTCAAGAGGGCGACTATGGATAGGGTAACCTAGTTCCCAGCACCTTCTATTTCAGATCGAACCATACTTATTGGTGGAGGTGCGCGTTCCACTGGGGTGGTCACTGCGCTTGCACCAACGGTCGCACGTTTGGTTGCTCAAGATATCAATATAGCTTGACACTGAGTAACAAAACGAAGTCTAAATACTTACAAGGTATAGAGACTTTCTGCGGAGCCACTAAACCCCGCGGAGCTGGACGCGAATTTTGAACGTGAGAAACATCTTCGCTAACAATGGTGAGATCGGTGCCACTTCCAGCGCGATCCAAAAGCATGGAACGACTAAAAGAATTTCCCATTTATACACCCGAAGATGCAGATGGTAATAATCACCGAGCTGACGCCATATTAGAACTAGATTCGGCAGGTACCCGCTGAGTTGGAAGCACAGCCCTTCTGTTCGGTCGCGGAATGTCGAATAACATCTCATTTTCATCGTTTGTGTCCTGTAAATAAAAAAAAGGTCAATGAATTTTGTATCTTTTTGGCGATGCTGGGCGTACTAATCAAAGTGAGATCATTAGAACATTTACCGTTACACGAGCGACAAATCTTCTTACACAACTATTCAAAATACTATAAGCTATATTTATTCTGACGATATCCTTTTTAGAATCGCCAAACGAAAAGTTATGGAAGCTACAAATGTTAAAAAACCCCAGCAAAGCCTACATATTTATCACTAATAATAAAGTGCGTAGTTTGTCTGTATGTGTACGTGTTATGAATGT